AAGAAGCAGGAACATTGCATTCAAATCACCCCTGACAGATGGCCATCCAGCCTCGGTTTAAAAGCCTCGTACACTTAGTGAATACCATTGCCAATCAACTAATAAAGATAAATTAAAACCCCAGCCATACAAAACAGAAGCCTGTAACAATAGCTTCAGTACCAGATGATAACTACATAAACCTTTTACTCATAATAACAGCGAATACAGCTGTGGCCACGACCTTCACTTCACTTCACTTCACTTTATTTCTTAATTAGTCGCTCTCCACCAAGGTGCTCCGAGCGGCTTACAGTCTAAAATAGCATTTACACAATATAAAAACATTAAACCTGGGCCTTATAAGATCAATTTATACTGGTGTCTTGCTTTAATGCCCTTCCTGACTTTCTTGGTGGTCATTCTTTTTCTACAGGATGCCTCCGAAGAAGAATGTGGGCGGCCCCAAAGGAAAGGGACCAGCCAAGAAGACGCCAACGAAGTGCCTTCTACCTCCCCCAGGATCTTCATCTGAGAATGAGGGCGTTTCGGCCGAGGACCTATATGCCTTAATGAAGCGGATCCATCAGTTGGAGCGGGAAAGGGGGCTGTCGGTTCACGAGACTGGACCGCTGCCACCTCGCTGAGGAAGTAGAATGCCCGTCCCTGCGCTGCCAAGGGAGGCTCCCCCTCGACCCCCTGCGGTGGACAAGCCCACAACATCCACAGGTACCAACACCACACTTGCGTGGCCCTGGGATCAGAGACAGATACACAACAGCTAAACAGCCAGACATGACATCATCACAGACAGGGGGTGAAACTTCTATCGTCATCCCAAACAGTGTTTCCCAATCTCCAATATCACTGGAAGCAGCTAGAATGGGTGAAACCAATCAGTATTGGGGTACTGACAAGTGGTCACTGCCGGTAACTTCTTTGGCAACCACAGCCTCTTTGGGCGCTTATCTTGCCCAAAAAACAATTGACAAAATCCTGAGAAATGAATATATCGATATATTTTTCCTCTACTTTAGAGATATGGAGAAAAAAGAAAGGGTTGTATTGGATGAGGAAAGTAAAGAAAAGATTTAAAAAAGGAAGGGTTGAACAAAACTGGAAAAATTGGTTGGCATGTTACACCATTTATGCTTCCTTAATTAGCGAAGCTCACTCCTACAGGGCCAAGTCACTCTTCAAATACCAAAATATCATTTATGGGGCGCATGTCAATTTTTTGGGCTATGCCTGGCTGGATTATGATAAATGCTTTCGTGCTGAGGCAGCTTGTCTTCCCACAAAACGCTGGGATCTTATTGACAGTCAATTGTGGATGGAGGTCATGAACACAGCCAGGACAGTCTATGGTGAAAAGGCCGACAGCGGTCACACCACTCAAAATACCAGGAGTGGGCAGTCCTTTCGCCAAGGGGCCCCTCAACAACAGTCACAAAGGCAGAGACCCATGTGCTGGGAATATGCAGGTCAGGGAGCCTTGGTCACTTACAACTAAGGCCCTTAAGCTGCTAGGCTTAGCACACCTCAAATTTGGAACACATTCATTCCGTATTGGCGCAGCATCATCAGCGGCTACAATGGGCTATGGGCCTGAAACAATTAAGTCATTGGGCAGATGGAGGTCCAACGCGTACAAAGGATATATTCGTACAGCTTTGTTATAATTGTATTGGTTATCGTTTCAGGTGCTGTTCGGCTGGCGCATAGATTGAAGGTCCTGGTGTGCGGACACAGTTATATCTACTGGGCAGAAAAAGAGGCCCTAAAGACTCCCTATGGCCAGCATCTGGGCCTCGCCTCCATTGCCACCGTTGAATGGAGAGGTAAAAGGGACCTTCGTTGGGACGGTTTGTTCCCGTTGTTGTTTGACTCCAGGAGCGGGCCACCTCCTGAAGTTTTGGTTATACACCTAGGTGGAAATGACCTAGGTTTGTTGACAGGAAGAGCGCTTTATTTGCAAGCGCGTGCCGATATTCACGAAATTTGGAGGGCATGGCCCTGTGTCCATATCGCCTGGTCAGCTATAATACCACGTCTCAAGTGGGCAGGGGGCGGAGACATGAGGAGGCTGGAGAGGGCCAGTAAGCGGGTGAACCGGGCCATGCGAACTGTACTGACCTGCGGTAAGGGGTCTTTCATACAGCACTCAGACATCACACATGATAAAACACTACTTTACCGTGGAGATGGCGTACATCTCTCAGAGGCGGGCAACTCTCAATTTTTGCTAGATCTCCAACAGGGTATACAAAGGGTGTTAGAGGAATTGGTGGGGGATGGGGACAAAATGGACATCTGCCCCCAATCCGTGGCGGAAAATAGATAGGGAAATCCTATAGTTGGTGTGCACCTAAGGCACCCCCTTGTGGGGTGAAGGCCATTAAGCAAAAACACTCATCCAAAAGTTAGCTTGATGGGTGAGGTGAAGTCAAACGGCCCTGAAATGATGAGAGGCTGGTCTCAATAAGTTTGAGACAGACTTCTCACTCATTTCCCCTAAAGTTTGCCCGGTTAGGTCACCCGGGAACCCAGGTGTTTCGCCCGTAAAAGTTATATTAAGCCTGGTAGGGATGCTACCTTGGCTCGGCTAGACCAATTTCCAGACACCCTTAAGTTAGGTTAGGAGAAATCTAAATAGGTAACGTTCAATAAAAGTTGCCCAATTTGAACCCAAAGATCTGTTGTCTTGTCTCTTTATTTCGGGGGTTGATAGTCAAACCTATTGATGAGGTAGCTAAAATTATTGCATAGTTGTTTGAAGTTTATTATCCAATCCCCCCCCCCCCCATCCTCACATTTTATATTGGGGAACAACATTATTTAATATTTATGGATTTCATATATATACACACTGTACACCAATTAAAAAGAAACTTTCCATTCTGGAAGGTGTGTGTCAGTTCACGAAATAAACCTAAAAGCAGCACAGAAACATTAAAACAAAACCTGTGAACTGTTACTGAAATCTCACTTCTTATGGTACTTTTTGTAAACTGTTAAAAGACAATGGTTTCTATTGTATTTCTCATGGGAAATCTGCACATATTTTCAGGCATTTCATTCACAGTTACTGGACTAGAAATCTGCTTTGCATTTGGGTGCATATCTCTACCCTTCTATATCCACCTTCACATATCTAGAATGAGGTGTCCTATGGATCTATCAATGTGTAGCATTCAAAATGTGTGGAATGTCCTCCCCCTCACCAGTTCTACATGACAAGCAAAATGTTACCTTCAAAATTCCACATTGTATTCTATGAAGGGTGACTTGTCTGATTTTTATTTATTTTAGTATTTATTTACTGTATTTGTATACCACCTTTCTCAGCCAGTCGACAACTCAAGGCAGTTTACAACAAATCAGTACACATAATATCATAATACAGGTTAAAACATTAAAACAATATAAAACACAACAAAAGCAATAAAAACGTCATTAGCATCTTCTTATTATCAAAGCATTGTCCAGTTCCATTGTCAAGTTATTCAATTTCCTATATCAGTTACTCTGGCATCTGTAAACACTTGCTCGAACAACCACATTTTAACTTCTCTCTGAAATGTCAAGAGGGAGGGAGCTGATCTGATCTCCCTAGGGAGGACGTTCCATAGCCGAGGGGCCCCAGTAGAAAAGGCCCTGCCTCTGATTTTCCACTATATAGAGAGTTTAAAAAGGAATATTTCATTTTGAAAAGGAATTAGGTAACAAATATGAAATAACAAATATGATATGAAAGACTCTGTCTAAAACCCTACGTTTCTTCTGGTGGTTCATAAATGCTAAATGTACAAGTTGTCTGGACTGACACATAGGCCCATCTACACTGCTTTATAATGCAGTTTGAAACTGCATTATATATTCAGTATCAGCTCTTATAATGCAGTTCAATGCAGATGGGGCCCATACTGCAAAACGTTTCAAGCCAGCTTCCTCTTTTTCTGTAAGGATTACCAGCTCTGGAATGATGTCAGAATGTGATCTGTATCTTCAGAATGTATCTTTGGAGACCTCATTTAGCTGTGCAAACAGTGCATATATCCTGCAATCAAATAAGCAGTAAAATGGAGCTAAATCTTCATTCTGTGGTAATACTGATGCCACTAAATTACCAAGAAACTATGGGGAGCAGGCCATTCAATAAGATTTTGAGGGCAGATTGAGGGGAAGAAGACGGATAGCTATCTCACTTCTGAGGATGCAAGGAGATACAGAAAACGGCAGAAAGACATCTGGAAATGAGATTTTCCAGATTTTCAAGGATATAAATGTTTCAGGGAAAAGAACAGCTATCCAATGCTCAAGAATGTGTAACTCTTGGGTTCCGGTTAATGATGCAGAAGACGGCAGTTTCTTCCCTGTCTCTGCATAAGAACTGTAGAGCAGACCTGGTGTATCTCACTCTGCCTCTGTTGGACACGTTTTCCATTAGCATTTGGGAAAAAAACCCTCCCACACTTCCAGTATTGTCGATATGGCTTCACCGCTGATTTTTAGTGCAAATGTAGTACTGTAGCTAGGCACGTTTTTCATTCTTAATTATATGCCCACAGGATAGTATTTTTACTGGCATTCCCACTGTTTATGGCGATTGCTGCTATACTTCAGCTGTGGGATAGAATACCAAAATGTGCTACTGTAGGTTTTCATCATAGCAAAATATCTTATACCCACCATCCCTTTCTCAAAACAATTCCCCAGTAAAACCATTTGCCAAACAGGCTTTAAGGTATCTCAAAGCCGGGTGAGATTTTACGCTAAAGCCTTTGAAAATGTAAAAGTTGTTCTCAACTGTGCAATATCTGGGGCTTTTTTTCCCACAATATTTTTCTAAGCTTTGTGGGTTAGGAGCTCTAAACCAGATAGCATGCCTACCTTTGTCAAGGCAATAGTATGGTAGCTTTCTCTTTCCATTCTCTCCTGTACCTTCTCCCCATGCATGTTTTCATTATTTGTCTTGAGCAACAGGTTGTAAGCTTTAGAAGTAAATTAAATTTCCTTACCTACGGCTTGTTGTACATCAGCTTCTTATCCGCTGTAGCAACACCCAACTGTAACTTTTAAAAATAAAATGGGAAACATGAAACAGTTATGTTTCTGAAGGCTACAAATCTCATTTTGCCTGAAGCAACAGAAAGCAAGCAAGCAAGGAGGAAAACACAGTGAAACCACTTCCTGTTCAAAAGAGTTGCACACCCCACAGTAAGTCACATATTCGATTTTACATACAGGAATCAAGTGACCAACTATACAGGCAAGTGCCCCAGCATGCATACTACTGAAAATTAAAAATAGCACCAAATTCAGAAGGTGAACACTGTAGTTCAAAAAGGAAATGCAAGGGGAATTAAAATAGCTGAAGTCTGAATCAATTTCCTTTCCCTCTATTTCTGTAGAAAATTGAAATGTTGCAGAAATTGACTTGAGTATGTTGGAGGAAGATGTTTGATTATTTGGCTTTTGCTATCCAATTGTATACTGAATTGTTATTTTAACTAATGAAATCAGTTTAAATTTAAATAGTAAATAAAGATTTTGATTGCCCAACTGAACAAAGCTGAATTTGTCATACTCTCCAACATCTCACTGATGAAAACCAGGATACATGACCAAGCAACATCATAGTGTGATCAAGATGGCAATAGTTATTAGTGAGGAGGAACACACAAAGTAGGAGCGGCTGTTCACTTTTGCCTGATCCTACTAGGAAAGGAAAGCTGCTCCTAATTGCCATTTCCTTCAGTCAGTTAATTGATTGCAAACTTCAACTGATCAGTTTGCATTAAGCCAAGGACAAATGAGAAAACTGGAAATAAGAAAGAAGTACTGAGGTATTTTAAAAGCAGCTGAAAAAGTGGGATGACAGATGATTAATCGGAACAGTCCTTGCCAAACTAGGCCTCTTGGAGGTCATGCTGTATAATAAATTCCCTATTTTAATATTGCCGAAATGAGAGATTTTAAGCTGAAGCTCTAAGTGCCTTTGTGTACTAAAATCTGTAGCATATTTTGGGCCTGGATTAGAACATGTTTAAGAATATGTTAACTTTAATATTTTTCTATAATTATTTACTTATTTATTTATTTACTTTATTTGTATACCGCTCTTCTCAGCCCTTAGGCGACTCAGAGCAGTTTACAACAGTTCAGATATACAGGACACAAAATCATTATGCATTTAAAAAACAAAAGCATCACAAGTCAATTAACATCATTAACATCATTAACAGCAGCCTCAAAACATCAATACATCAATATAACAAATCCATCCGGTCTAGTCGGTGAAATCAGAATCCAAAACTYGTTATCCATTATTCCATGTTCCAATAATCAGTCAATCAATCACACTGCTTAGTCGAATGCCTGTTCAAACATCCAGGTCTTTACTTTCCTCYGGAATGCCAGCAAGGAGGGGGCCGATCTAATATCTGTAGGAAGGGCATTCCACAGCCGAGGGGCCACCACTGAGAAGGCCCTGTCTCTCGTCCCCRTCAGGCGTGCTTGTGAAGCCGGTGGGATCAAGAGCAGGGCCTTACCAGACGATCTTAATGTCCTAACTGGTTCGTAGGAGGAGATGCGTTCGGACAGGTAGGTTGGGCCAGAACTGTTTAGGGCTTTAAAGGCTAAAGCCAGCACTTTGAATTGTGCCCGGTAGCAAATTGGCAGCCAGTGGAGCTGGCGCAGCAGAGGAGTGGTATGCTCCCTGAGTGCCGCTCCAGTTAGCATCCTGGCTGCCGATCGTTGGACCATTTGAAGCTTCCGAGCAGTCTTCAGAGGCAACCCCACGTAGAGAGTGTTGTAGTAGTCTAAACGGGATGTGACTAGAGCATGGACTACCGTGGCCAAGTCAGGCTTCCCAAGGTACGGGCATAAGGGTTATGAGATTCCACCGACATAGTTGCAAAGGCATGTGGCTTGTCTACATTAGTAAAAAAAAAAAAACTCATATTCATTTCAAATCCGGCAGTCTTGATTATGCACAGTAAATTTTGGTAGGTATCCAGAGTCTTTTTTGCCTTCAATTCATTGTTGCTCCCATCTAAAGTTGGGGAGACTCCAGAGTTTGCAAGAAACTCCTGAGTATCTATCTGTGGACACTATGGCCATCCGATGCATTTTGGATTATTTTGGGTTTCAAAATTCCAGATAGGGAATGCTCAATCTGAAATAGTATTTAAATTGATGAAACAAAGGATTGGCTTTGCAGGTAACTGCTTTTCACTTTTCCTAGAAAATAATTATTACCTGTATGGTTTTATTTGTTCATCCACTAGCATCAGACTCAGCATTAGTTTCTTCTTTTAACAAAAGCTGAACATTCAAGTAAGAGATTTCTATTAGCTTGAAAAGGACAAATTTAGTTTGGGCCTCCTGGTCCTTCAGGCCTGAGGACACAAAGTTTAGAAGCCAATACATCTGTGTAAGCAACATGTAATGCTTATTTTTTTAAAAGAGGCTTACAGCCCAGAGGTGTCCTCATGGAAGCAATATCTTAAAAATAAGCACTAGATAAATGTGTGGTCCAGGAAGATTGAAGGAAAGAAGAAATGGCCTAAAAGGAAGAAATGGATAGTAAAATTGGGGACAATGTTCATTTCAGTAGACCTGAAGCAGAAAATAACATTATCTCTTTTCTAAAGATCCTGCCTTTTTTCTGTGTACTCTTTGAAAATCTTAGGAAGAGTCCTCTCTCTCACTCTGAAAATGGAAACATTTCTTAAATAACAACTGTGCAGTCCAGAAAAGTAATCCTATGGCTATAAAGTGGGAGGAAAGCTGAAGATCATACATTGGTATGAAAAAATGACTGTCTATAGCAGTGGTTCTCAACCTGTGGGTCCTCAGGTGTTTTTGCCTACAACTCCCAGAAGCCCCAGCCAGTATACCAGCTGTTAGGATTTCTGGGAGTTGAAGGCCAAAACATGTAAGTTTTTAATTCTTTCCTTGTAATTACTAGTAGTATAGTGAAATAAGTGTTGCATAAGATGTCTGCAACACTACTTCCTCCTGTCACCCAACAATGCCAACTCAGTAATAGCCAAACACTATAAAAAGGTAGTTGCTTTGTGTGTTGCTCAAACTTGATCCTCCCAAGCTTCCTGTTTAAAACTATCTGAAATTTCACTATGAATGTGAGAACAATGCAACTGGGATTAATTCTGTTTGTTTTGTCTTTTTGCCCTTAGAAGAATTTAGCACTTGCCTGCAAAGTCATTCTGATCATATTGTTTTGTATTTTTAAAAAGTTTTGAATTGTTTTGAAAATACCATTTTTTCTCTTTCTCTCTTTTCCCAAAAGTTGACCAGCACCAGCAAGGCTTGAAACCAAGATTTTTCTTAACTAAAAAGATAACTCGGTAATTCGGTAAAGAGTTGTATCAAATCACTGTGTGTCTATTGTCAGGTATTTTCCTCTCCCTCAGCAGAGTGCTGGAAGCATCTCCAAGCCACGAGCCAGCTAGCCCCAGAATCCTGTGAGTGATGCAGGAATTTCACTGTGTAAGAAAGAGTCCAAACACAGATATTCTTTCACTGCAGTGTGCAAGAAGGCTTGTATATTCAGTTGCTTTAGAAGATATATGCAAAGCAATATATAATATACAACAATACAATCTCTCTATATCTCACCACCGTCCTCCTCCTCCATTTAACAATCCACAGCTTTTACGACTTCACTCTACAGCTCTACACAGAACGCAGGGGAGGGGCCAGCTTTTATACCAGGCATGGGTAAACTTTGGCCCTTCAGGAGTTTTGGACTTCAACTCCCACAATTCCTAACAGCCTCAGAGAGAAAATGGTTGAGGGGAAAACGAAGGGCCCGAGACTGTTGGGAATTGTGGAAGTTGAAATCCAAAACGCCTGGTCGGCTGAAGTGTGCCCATGCCTGTTCTGTACCCTTCCCCATGAGTCACTTGCTAATCTACAGACCTAGACATGACTCTGTATTTTGCCCTGTGACCAGGCCTAAAGGTCTCAGTACTTTACCATTGTTATCTATATCAGTTATTTCAAAACTCTGACCTATATGACCTAAAGTCACTGAATGAAATTATTTCTAAACAAATTATTTCTAAACAAAAATTATTTTTAAACAAACAGAATAATGAATGAATTAAGATAATTCTTACCATAAAATTGGTGCTTTTCCAGTTTGCTCTTAACTGTTGGGAACCACCTACAGACAGGCTGAAAAACAGACACACCGTCTATATTTGGCTTAGCATCATAATTTTTCCAGACAATTTAAGACAACACTAACTCAATGTTATTTGGAAAAATCCTGACTGAAAAAAAAGTAGTATGTCATAGCTAGGTGAAAATTATCAACGTGACTGGTGGTATTAAAAACGTTCAGTGTTGGTTTTGTTGAATTTCTCTAACGTCTAAATGCATTTTCTTCTCATCGTTCTTTGTCTTTTTGTTTTCTTTCAGAGGGTGTTTTAAGGTATATGTTTTATTTGCTGGATATGTGTTGTATGGCATTGAATTGTGCCTTTATGTCTGCTCTGAGTCCCCTTCAGGGTGGAAGAGCAGGATATAAATATGGCAAATAAAGAAACATTGCAATTTTTAAAAATGCCTTCTCCCTAATTGGTGCACTTTAAAAAAAATCCTCAATCCTCCCCTTCCATAGCTAAAGTATGTTTCTGCCCATTCTTGCTATTCATATTTTAGCCTTTCACATTTTAAAATATCTGCATTGTTTTCTGTACATGATTATACTTGGAGATGTCCTACAAGTCTTACAGATGTGTGAATGTGAGATGTGCATTTTCTTTCAACACATCTAGGGAAGTATGAAAATGCTTCTTTCACAGAGATGGCAAAGTCTGACAAAACAAATGCCATCACCAACCTTAACACGCTTCTTTGGGTATACAGAAAGGGACTGTTTTGTGCTCCATTCTCTTAAGTTGTACATCATAGACACAGGTTGACTATGAGAATTAAGTATCTAAGTGCTTACTTGATCATGGTTTTTAGAAGATAGGCCTCTCAATATAAAACTGCCTACTTTACTGTGTTGCCACATGCATCAACAATGCTGGAATAATTACAAATATAAAGCAATAAAATTTGGGTTTTTTCTCTCCCAAGAGTCATAATTATCAACTTCTATCCTGGCAGGGAATAAGTGGTCTGCAATTGAACACACTAAAAACAGAAAACTC